ATATATACATACATACATACATACATACATACATACATACACACACACACACAAAAAAGGGAGGTTGTGGGCAAGGAGATGTAGGTGTCCCCCCCCCCCCCCCTGTGCGTTTTGCGGAGGACAGCTGTCATCTCAGTTCTCAAACCCCAAAGAGAGCTCTGGAGCTGTCTTATGAATCTGAGASCATAAGAGCGATTCTTAGTCTGAAGAATTTTAATAACTGTCATTTACACTGCAGTCTGAAAGTAGGAGGAAAGAAATTCTCATTTAAGACTAAAATTCCACTTTAAGAAGTGATAAATACTTTAACTGAAGTAAAAATTTGACAGAGCTACTTTTACTTTTATTGGAGTAATACACTGCCAGCCCCCAAAAAAGTRTCCACCTGGATTTAACTACGGTCTATGATGTGGGGTTGCTGCAGTTGGTCAGGTCTAGGTTCAGCAACAGTCTGCTCAAAGAATGAGGTCAGCTGACTACCTGAATATACTGAATGACCAGGCTATTCCATCACTGGATTGTTTCTTCCCTGATGGCACGACCATAATCCAAGATGACACTAGCTATGTTTACATGGACATAAGTAATCAGATTAAACGGCCATTCGGAATAAAAATGCATTATGTAAACACCCCATTCGGATTATTCTGACCCAATTCAGCTMGATCCGAATGAATTTGTAATCTGAATGAGAGAGGTGGTTTATGCCGATTGATAATCTGATCGACATGCATGTAAACRCTTAATCTGATCATCTTATTCTGATTGTGGAAAACTGACCTGACTGCGCATGTCTGCTGACTTTCATCCAGCAGTTTCTCCTATTTTTAGGAGGGAGGGACAGCAGCGCTGTTTCCAGCAACACACAACTTTCCTCCCATTCTCTCATTCAGTAAAGAAGGAAGACAAACAGCCTGCGCCGCTTCGCAAAATAAAAAAAGTTCGCCCGTCACCTGAGTAACGTCTCCACTATTATTAAAAGCTGTCGCAGGATTCTGAGCGCCCAGAAGCTGTTTGTTTACGTTCATGCCAAAAGTAAAACTCT